CCCACTAATTATTAACTACAATTGACCCCACTCTCCCCTACAGTAAACGACTATATTTTAAGATATTTTCTTTAAAATTCGCGCATTCTTCTATGGAAATAACAACTAAGCACCGAAGGTAGAGAATAATTCAAATCGATCACCAGTAATATTATAATATACTAATATAGTGCCTGATATAATAAATATTCTATATTTATATTATACATCGTCTCATTTAACCCACATTTTTGATACACTAACGTAAACAAGTGCAAACCGGTTTCAGCCACATCAAAACAATAAAGCTGTATAGTATGACCTGATAATTAAGAATTTAAATAGAATATTATAAGTGAGTCTAATAATCTGGTGAGGTACTGTACACGGAGTGTTATAAAAAAAAAGATTACTTACTGTAGAATTGAGCTAACTGTGAGACCACTACAGACAACATGAGGGCTCTGGCGAGAGATTTGTCAGTTGTACCAAGTAATCGCCACAGCAACAGCGAAAAGCCTGCAAAACAGAAATAATGTTTTATTTCGTACTTTCTAAACATACAGAATATTTGATGATTCATACCAACAAGTCATGGTGACGTAATGTACAAGTGTGGAAGTATAGAGGTATAGTTTTCTTTCACCGCCAGAAGTGTTTGTTTAACCTTGGAGAAAACCTTCGTAGGTATTAAATTAATATTATTTCTTTTTCATATGTAAATAGTCATGGTTATTCTTTGCACCCAAGATTATAAAATTCATTTATCCAAAGATAATTCCATGGAAAAAAAATAATTTTTAATAAATATTTTTAAAAAAGGCGGCGTCATTTGACATTATTTTGAAGAATGTAATTCTACATTGCAAATTTGTGCGAAATCATGGCATTGCAATGCGAAATCAATCGTTCCTGAGAATTCTAGTTTAAAAGAAAGTTGTATTTTCGGTTGTATGTAAGTGAAGTTCAATTTATAATTGAATTAGCTGCAGTTTTAATATACGTAGCTGTTACTGTGAATATCTGAAATGGGCGGTTGCTGACCACCGGTGAATGTCGACCATCACAAAGTCACTTTGGTAAATGTCCGAAATATATATAAAGTCAAACCTCGATATCTCGAACTTGAAGGGAGAGGAGAAAAAATTCGAGATACCGAAAATTCGAATTATCGAAAATCGCATGCTATCGATGGTAGAATAAAGAAAAATGCTCTTAATATACCTTATTTGCTATTCCATATTTATTCTAAAAACACTTTTTACACTTAAAAAGATTCAATTGTTGTTTGCTTTAGAGATGTGTAAGAAAGTTTGGCCACAACACTTTCTAAGTGGACTATAGCTCTAAATGTCTCTTCTGACATATTTGGCTGCCTCTCAAATAAATCTCCTTACAGTGTCCACTGCAGAAAGTGCTTGTTTGTTAGTAACATTGGGTGGTAAATCTTCGATTTCCTCTTCTTGATAGTTCGCAAGAAGCTTTCGTTTGAGCGATGATATCATTGTCATGCCACTGACCACACACTGTTACTGCATCATCTACGTTCACAAAGTTATGAAATTCCAAGTCATCAAGTTTCTTGAGTCCGGTCAGTCTGTCCCAATCATTTTCGGTGTAGTTTTCAGCAGAATTAACGATATTGATTGTTTGACTACCTTCGTGATCTTTAATGAATTCAGCCTTCTTGAAGCCATTCATTATAGTAAAGAGAGACACATCATTCCATGACACTGACGTCTTTATGTCCATTTTTTAAAAAAAAAAAGATTATCAATATGAGAATTGGTTTTCTATTCTTAAAATTTTTTTATTTCTTTTGGAATAATTTTTTTATTTTCAGAAAAAAAAAATCTACACTATTTATGGAGAAAAAAATTCAAGTTATCTAGGGATTAGAAAACAAATTCGTGAAATAAAGTTTTTTTTAACATTGAGTGTATAGAAAATTTGTAGGGAATATTTTTTTCTTCGAGATATCGAAAAATTCGTGAAATCGAGGTTCGACTGTAGTTTGTCTAAACTAAGCACTCCTCCCGCCGCAAAGTCTGAGGCAGTCTGGTGCTATGGAAACAAGAATGGCGCATTTTAGGGAGAGCAGCTTCACTCTAAGACTAACACAATAGACCTAAGAGATTCCCTTTCTCTCGCCAACCGGAGCCAAAACTACTCCAAAACAGTGATCCCGCATCCCCTATTGAAATAATCATACCTCGTTACCATAGTCACCGTCACAAGTCCAGACGAATGTCTAGGGGATTTCTCGTTTTAGACAAACTATACTAGGTCTGCCATTGCCCGGTATGCCCTACTCTGATGTTTTCTAAAGGTTCAGTGCCACAGCCCGGTATGCGTTTAACCGGTACTCAGAGCACTGATGTCTCTCCTTTTCTATCCTCAGCAGATATTAAAAAATATCGAATAAATATAATAATATCAACGAATAATTTAATATCAAATCGGATATAACAAATATTTCAGGACATTCATCAAAGCGACCATGTGATTGTTGGCATTCACCGGTGAAAGTCGACATTCTCTTGATTTCTGTCATTCACGGTAAGGGTACCACAGCGAGTGAATGAAATGACTCTATAAAAATGACTTTGCCAAAAATGTTGTAAATATTTTTCGAACGTGATTAAATCTGCACAGTGCGGCTTTGAAGAGAACTCCTCCAGACTGCAAGTCTGGGGCTGCCTGCTGCTATGGTAACAAGCGAGAGCATATTTCTAATGGGGGTGAAATGGAGGAAAGAAGGGGTCGATTGGTTTACTCACGACGACCTACGGTAAGATTGAGATAAAACTATTCACTTTAAACCCCTATTCCAAGTGATCTTTCCTTGTAACCATAGCACCCGCCACGACGCGAGACGGGTGTCTGGAGGAGTTCTCTTGAAAGCCGCACTATACATTACATTTTGTTTGTTAGATTATTTTCAAAAAGATAAAACTCATTTCTATTGTAAGTTCTTCATGATTAACTGTATGAAATGTGTTATTTTTAACATTTTAATTTCCCTTTTCTTTTACGGTACTAGATGGCCATCTCACTTAGACATTGAGGAGAGACTTGTTAGTTTTATTTTAAACAATTTTTTTCTTTTCATATTTTGCTCTCCATATACCATCGATTTTTGTTCAAAATATATTGAGTACTTGTATAAGAATTTAAAATAGGCACAAACATTTCTTGTTTCCCCCATTCTTAGTATTTTTGTTTCGAGTTGGAAAAAAAATTACTATAGCTGTCTATACCCTAAACCAGTGTTTCCCGAAATTATGACTTTTGTGTACCCTTTCTAAATTTTTCGTAACGCTGTGTACCACTAATAAAAAAATGAATGTATTTTTTACCGTAAAAAAATTTCACAAAAGTTTAAAATCTCAACTGGCTGTTGACACCACCCACTAATTATTAACTGTCAACTCTGCAAAAAAATAACCAATAGAAAAATACGTAATCGTAAATTTTCATGGCTAGCTTCGTTTTTAAATAAAAATTTATGAAATTTTTATTTGTTGCAAGTTATTTCGCATACGAATGTGTACCCCCGCTAGACTGTTCCTGTACCACTGGGAGTACGCGTACCACACTTTGGGAAACACTGCCCTAAACTAAATGCTAAGAAAAGATATTTAAAAAAAATTCTGTGTATTGCTTATGGTGTTTTGATTTCAATGTATAGATTCTAAAAATAAAATAAAAAATCCTCTTGCCCCCTTAAAAAATTTCTTTCACATTACGCCGATGCTTAAAATATTTAAGTCTTGATTCTCATATTTCCCATATTCTTAGTTTCCCGATCTCCTTATTTTTCTGATCTCCTTAATTCCCCAAAACTTAGTTTCCCGATCCCCTTATTTTTCCACATTTTTAGTTTCCGAACCCCTCTTTCTCCCCAAACTCTTAAGGTCTGTTTACACGATCCGAGAAATTGGATGATTCGTCGACGCTATCCAAGTTCTTGAATGTCACTGATTGGTCGGAAGAGAAACTTGCGCATGCGCTTTGTTCAAATTCAACATTATAAAATCATAATTACATGAGTTTAAAATTACTAAATAAATTCAAATAAAATCATAATAACCCAAATAGACCGTAACAGAACAATATATTTGAACTAAAATATATGAAAACAGACAACAAAATGACATAATCTGATGCCTGCTTGTTGACGATACGAAATCTAAAGAAGCTGATGGGTTAAGGGAGAAAAAACTTGGATGGAAAGTAGAACATGTTCTACAATCGTCCAAGAACTTGGACCAAGTACTTGGATGATCGTTTACACAATCCAAGCTCAAAGCAAAACAAGTTTCCATCAATATCAATCAATCTTCTTCCAAGAACTTGGATCTTCTAAACAGACCTCTTTAGTTTCCAGATTTTCCTGATCTTTTTTTTTTGTTGATCCTCGCATTTCGTGATTTATATTTCTTGATTTGAATAATGTTTGAAGTTTCTTACCTAATATTATGTGCATCGCTTCTGTTACGTATTCTTTTGAAGAATGTTCCTCGGATTCGATCAAGAACAGAAAACACTTCTGAATAAAAGAAAGAACTGTTAGTGTTTATGTCGAATATTTTTAAAGTTATTCATTACAGAAGGTAAAAGAGTTTTTTTTATGTCATCAATGTATCAATAATAGTTTAATAATAGTGGCTAATTTTTAGAAATATGTGTACAGTGTGACAAAAAGTAGATTGATTAGAATACTAACTGTTGATAATAATTACTCAACAGGGCTAAATATTAATTATTCAGGCACAAAAACGCTCGACAGGGTTAGGATTTTTTCTAAAAGAAAGGAGACAGGGCCGAAAGGAAGAAACTGAAAATGACAAATACAATTGTTTAGTGACAAGTATTATAAGAATAGATACATATTGGGAGTACAAATTAGTTCGGTCCGTTTTCAAAAGATGACTCTGTCTGTTATGAATGTTTCATAGTGACAGCTGGTTTCGGTGGTTTCAGAGAGGTTAGACATCTGTCAATAATATTCAGCTTATATCGCTTTGAGTTTCATACAAAAACCCTGTTTTTTACTTTGTTGAATATGTCAAATTTTGCGGTAACTAAGCAGCATTTGATTTTATGATTCTGCTTTAATTGGAAATAAAAGTGCAGCGCGTCGAATGCTTGTAGAAGTTTATGGAGACAATGCTCCAACTGATAAATCATGTAGGGGATGGTTTCGACGTTTCAAGAAAGGTGAATGATGTTGTATACTATGAGCTGCTACTACCTGGCAATTCCATTACGGGAGATCGGTATAGGCAACAATTGATTCGTTTGAGCAGTGCATTACGAGAAAAACGGCCGGAATACGAACAGAGACATGACAAAGTTATTCTTTTGCATGATAACGCTAGGCCTCATGTCGCAAAAGTCGTAAAAAATTATTTGGAAACGCTCAAGTGGGATATTTTACAGCACCCGCCGCATTCGCCGAACATTGCCCCTTCTGATTACTAGTTGTTCCGACGGCTGCAGCACGATTTGGTAGGTCACCGGTTCACTTCCTTCGCAGAAATCGAAAATTGGCTCCTAACTTGGATCGTCTCAAAAGAAGAGACATTTTTTCGAATTGGAGTTCGAAAATTGCTTGAGAGGTGGGAAAAAGTTGTAGCCAGCGATTGACACTACTTTGATGAATCCGTTCGTTCATTTTGTTCTGAAATAAATGCATTTTTCATTTAAAAAAAAGGACCAAACTAATTTGCACTCCCAATTTTTTTTTTTTTTTTAATGGCAGGCTCTGAATTTGAATCTTTGCCTTTACTATGCCAGAATTGTTGCTCATTTCGCGTTACCCAGTGGGCACCTGTGAACCAAAGTCACGGAGGCGAGCAACATTGCCCACGCCACACTGCCACAAACCCGTTTATAGGCTTGGCCACATTCACACATCATACACACAACAGAGGACAGCACAAAGAGAGAGAGAGAAACATCCATGCTCAGAGCGGGATTCGAACCCGCAGCCTATGGCTTCGCAGTCAGGCACGCTAACCGCTCGGCCACCTGGCCGGCGCACTCCCAATATAAAAAGTAAAGTTTTACATTGTATCAGAGAGCCATGGTGGCTCATGGGATGGAGCGTTTGCTTTCCAATGAGGTGAACCGGGTTCGAATCCCAGCAATGGCTGGTCGATACGAATTCCGTATCCGATTAGCACCGACCACACGGCTGAAGTAAAATACTCTCAGTGGTAGACGGATCGTGAGTTAAGAGTCCCCTTGCTCTCAGACTAACCATGGAGGGTTTTCCGTGGTTTTCCCCTCTGTGTAACGCAAATGCAGGATAGCTCCATCAAAAAGTCCTCCACGAAGATAAATTTCTACCAATACTTAATCCAGGAGTTTCCTTGTGTTTTGGATTGGGTTCAAAATTACGAGGCTACGGAGTTGAACATNCAGTCAGGCACGCTAACCGCTCGGCCACCTGGCCGGCGCACTCCCAATATAAAAAGTAAAGTTTTACATTGTATCAGAGAGCCATGGTGGCTCACGGGATAGAGCGTTTGCTTTCCAATGAGGTGAACTGGGTTCGAATCCCAGCAATGGCTGGTCGATACGAATTCCATATCCGATTAGCACTGACCACACGGCTGAAGTAAAATACTCTCAGTGGTAGACGGATCATGAGTTAAAAGTCCCCTTGCTCTCAGACTAACCATCGAGGGTTTTTCGTGGTTTTCCTCTCTGTGTAACGCAAATACAGGATAGCTCCATCAAAAAGTCCTCCACGAAGGTAAATTTCTACCAATACTTAATCCAGGAGTTTCCTTGTGTTTTGGATTGGGTTCAAAATTACGAGGCTACGGAGTTGAACATTAGAAGCCGTAAACCCTAAATTGGATCGGCTGATTAACGACGGTTATATAATATAATATCAGAAAGACTTCTTTTTTTCCCCGCCTTCTTATTTTTTCATTAAAAAAACCATTATAATGTTGTTATTTTTTCAGGTTTTAAAATCTATACATCAAATTATATAAGATGATTCATACTTTACAATATTTAATAGCTAAAATTATTAAGGTTGTTTTATAATTGGAAATTTAAAATGTAATTAGTTACAGTATACATATTAAGAATTTCTGATAATTCTTTTGATATGTCATATCAATCATATATAATTCTTTATCAAATATAATTCTTTATCAGATATCAGAATTCAATACTTCGCATGCTTTCACCAACAGCGAGTGGAGAGTCACAGGAGAAGGAAGTACGCTAGTTTCTATCTTGATTTACAAATAGATTAAAATCTTTGAAGTTAGAAATCTGTATGAAACTGAAAACTACGTTGAACATAGATCTAAAAGAAAACGTCGTGGAAATTTTAAAAGTATTTTTGACGAGTAAATACGAAAAATAATAAGAAGAGTGAAGCTATCGTAGTACATTCCTATACAACTGAGACGAGGAGGCATGGAACCGGTTTTCTCCCCAGATGGCGTACTCAAGCGTTGCGGTTGAGAATGATAAATGTTGGTAGAAAACATTCAAAGCTGTCGATTAGTTCCGTCATTCTCTGAGATCAGCGAAATTTAAAGTCTTGGCAAAATAAATTAATGTCGTTTAATTAATCAGGTAGGTAGGTATTTTATGAACGTTGCACTAGAGCTGCACAATGGGCCATTGGCGACGGTCTGGGAAGCATCTCTGAGGATGACCTGAAGACATACCACCGCAATTTTGATCCTCTGCAGAGGGGGTCCTCTGCAGAGGACCATTCTCAATGGATGCGATTTCTTCACATGTGAATGTGAACCCGATTGGTGGAAGATATAAACCCACGAAAAACTGGCGAATCAAATTTTCTTTCCGAAAAAATATCGCACCTAATGAGAATGGCCCGCAATTCACGCACCTCCGATCACCGTCGCGAGAGAATGAGTACCTGATTGGGGAAGTATATTCACCAGGAAAACAAAACTCTCCAATCAGATTCACCGATTCTCTTGGATGTACGTGAATAATTGTTTTACCCAAAAAAGTTAAGGTCAGATTTAAGAGTAAGCTCGATCTTTTACAAATTTTTATGTTGAATTTTTAGACCCTTTAGGTCAATTGTATAATTTTAACCTTTAACTTCATGCTTTTTTCCTTTTATCAATTGTCCCTTATAATCTTTTTATTATTTTTCTTGTATTTTAAACTTTAAATTTTTAAACCACCAGTTTTCGGTCATGAGGTTTGACCAAAAATATTTTTCATGAAGCTTGTACAAATTCCATTATACTTTGACAGCTCTCACATGGTAAATTCTGGGTCTGACATGGTAGATATGGTTAAATTTATTAAATTTAAAATATTTATAAGGGTCCGTTGGACAATTTTTAAACTCAAACTTAAAATTTTTTGATTTTTTTTCATATATTTTATTGTAAACATCAATCTTTAGATGTTTAATTTCCCCTCATAGTTAATAGTCGGAATAATCACAACTATACATGTAAAACGTTTAATTCTAGAGGTGAATTTGTTGCTTTTGTATTTTTGCCCGATAACCTCCGGACTGTTGCCAAAATAGTACTATGTTTTTTTCTTATTTTTAAATAAATGCTTCGGAGGGGCTTCGGAGGGCCTCTCGGCCAGTGCGTGTGCCAGATACTCTCTGTCCACTTCCGGCTGTGCGGGAAACTGTCACGGCGACAAGTTGATAATTTTTCCCGCATACCCATATTTGGGGGGTCGGGGACCAAATTAACCTTACCTAAAAAAAACTAGAGATGAAAAATGGACTTACATGTAAGCCATTGGCGGTGAATATTGCAGCGATGAGGAAATGCCACCACCAGTAGCATCGGGGAAATCGAACGAACAGATGCTCATTGTGTCCAAGAACTTGACTGATCTGTTATGGAAAATATCATTATGTAGATCGTCCAGAAATAATTTATTATTTTTTTAAAAAAATTACATATGGTTTACATGGATCACTTCTTCGTATCAATGTACTTTTTTTACTCCAGGTTCAATAGCTAGATAAATAATAAACTTAGATAATAATTGGATGATTGACCGTGTAAAGCTAAGATTAGATGGCGCTAGGGGTATCTATCTATATATCTATATATATGAAAAAAAGTTATTTAGACAATCTAGCATTTCACGCGTAAAAAATGTAATTTTTTTGACGGAAATGTGTCACAATGGAACTGTGTTTTCTACACTAGGCAGTGATGAAGTTGAAATCTCTTTACCCCTCATACTTCCGGCTTACTGCACCCCGTGTATTTTGAGGCCATTCAGCTAGATATGTTAAGATTAAACTCAGTAATTAATTAAAGACATTAAATAGTGAAGACAAAATAATAAGCATAAATGATGAAAAGACAGTAAACATGTGGTAAACACTTTAAATTATATTAGAATAAAAATTTTACAAAACACTTATTACTTTGTCAACAATATACTAGATTCGAATATTTATATTGAATTGATAATTTTCAAAACAAGTTTTATCTTGCTACTCTAACTAAACACATGCGTATGCACGGTGCCCTGCTTGCAGCATGAACAAATTAAAGCAAAGAAGCAAAAAAAGAAAAATTCAATAATGAAAAAAAAAAAAAAAAACCTAGGATGGTTGACCGTTTAAAGCTAAGGTCAGATGGCGCTAGGGGTTTCCCTAGTTATTAAAAATCGTCGTAAGACTTCCGGGTTCCTACTTCCGACTGACTTTTACGCCTTAGCTTGAAAAAACGCACCATTTAATATAACTAACTATACATGTATTGTTTTCAATATAATGCGTTCTTTCTTGTTCTTGTTCTAAAATTTGTTTTAGACTAACCACCTGTTTGAATTTATAAATCACAGAAAACTTTTATGAATGGTAAAATTTCGCGTAAATTAGAACAAAAATCACCGTAATAAAACTTCGTAGAATATCAAGCCTGTTCACACATCGCCTCGTAAGCATAATATAAGCGGAGGGATACACCGTTCTAAATTTCTTCCAGTATTAGGACCTATATATACATTAGGAAATGTATTTACATTTATTCAACCATCCATTAATAAATTACAATTTACTTTAATAAAAATTCCTCAAATAAATAATAAACAACGTTTAGTATGAAATCATTAGTTTATAAAAAAAACCTTTTTAAGTACAGTCAAATCCCGCTATAGTGAACACGGTTTATAGTGAACTCCCAATTATAGTGAACAAAATGTTCGCTCCCGTTGCTTGGTACCTACGTATAATGTTATTTTTTGTGGATATAGAGAACCAAAAAAAAAGTTGGATATTATAAACTTTTTTCTGTCTTCGACTGAATGATTTTCTTCATTTATGATACAAATTCGTAATAATTTGAAACTTCTACTTCAAAATAAATACATATACCGATTTTCTTAAACCATCAATAGCATGGAATGTAGCAATAAGCATTTTTCCTTGTTTGCTTCATTATTGAATAGCATTATTGAATTAGTTCACCATTCAAAGAAGCCGCAATCTTCCAGTATCTGGACAAATGCTTCAAGTCAAAGGCCGATGAATTTGCTAGACGATTTGTTGAGACTAATTTTATGTGCTCGAATGGATGGTTAGACAGGTTTAAAAAGTGGAATAACATAAATTCAGGAAAAATTATCCGAGAGTCGGGCAGAGTGTTTCCATATCTGATGTTGAGGATTGCGCATCAGCTAAAGATTACTAATTTCTTTTGTACGCAAGACGAAGAGTAATAAAAAATAAAAGTTAACATTTTTGTTACTACGTATTATTTTTTAGTCATTTACTTTTATTTCCTTTTGTGAATCATTCATTTAAATAGTGCGTAATAAAAGGGGGGGGGTTAGGAACCATTAGATAAAACAGTCAGCGGAACGGATATAGTGAAATCCCGGTTATAGTGAACAGAAATTTAGGTCTCTTGAAGGTTCACTATAGCGGGGTTTGACTGTATTTGTTTGACTTTAAGAAAATATTTTCAGATGTTTGTACTTCAGGGAGAAGGGATGATTTGGTTTTTCAAAAGAAATTTACCTTAGACCTGTGCACGTCTCCATTGTCCGTTTCTCCTACTCCAAGAATTTTCCTCGTTTTCAGACGACTTTGTAAATCACCACTACTGTGTTTCCTGGAAAATAACAGAATATCTTAACCTCTTTACAGATATTTCAGAAAAAATGGACCAAAAATGGAACATTTATTTGACTGTTCATGCTCTTTATATTATTATAAAAGTTAGAAAATGGTTTTTTATTACTGAAATAATGCAGTAACAACTGCATTTATAATTTGTACATACACATAAAAAAGTGATGGATTACACACACATCTTATTCAATTAGAGCAAATTTAACAAACGATTGTTATTCTTTTCGACGGATTTGAACTCTAGAACCTCCCCCACCCCCCTAAAAAAAAAGAGGGTCCCAATAGTTTAGGCAGGAGAGCAGTCGAAAGTTTGGTCCCTTTAATGTTAATTTTACTTTTGCGTATTTCGCTATATCTCATCTCGAAAATTTTTTACGCGATTAAAAAAAAAATTTCACACAAATATAAAATTCAATTTAAAAACAATTTCCTTGTAAAAATTTTTTTTTACTAATTATTCATTATTTTCTAATAATTTATTTAATAGGTAGGAAAAAATTTGATTTTTAAAATCATTTTAAAGAATTTAGGTTTAAATAAATACGAAATACAAAATTCGAACGAAATCGGTCAAATAGTTCCTGAGTTATCAAATTTTATAAAATATCTTATTACTTAAAATCTGATTTCGGATGAAAAAGATACTATCTCATTGATTCAATAGACTGATAATAAATATGTTTTTTTTAAAATATATTTTGAGTTACAAAATCGCACCCAAGAACATGTTTTCTCTGACTGGACATACCTTCCCAAGTCAAACTTTCTGATGGTTTTTCATTGATGGACCAATATAATCTTAAAGGTGAACATCAATAATTCCATCATGAACTATTATATTTTTGATGGTAACTAACATAAGTTACCGTAACCCCAAAATAGGAATTCGGACTGATTTATGATGGTGCAACATCAGAATAACAACTTGCTATGACGATTTGTTCATGTTGAACTATCAGAAATTTCCATCAGAGTTTCTTAGATATCAAATGTTGAAACGATCATGAACAACCATCATCCTAACGTAGGAGAATCCGGACTGATTTATGATGGTCCAACATAAAAAAACCCAAATTGTTTTTAAGGTGTATGTTCCTGAGAACCAACAAGAATTCCTATTAAACCATCATGGAAATGTATAGTTGGAACCATAACGGATTGTTGATCCATGAGAATCAAACCTCTCTTGATGGTTAACCATCATAGTATTAAATTAGCATTTTTCATCATGGAATGATGAAAGTTTGTTGGCATATCAAAAACCATAAATGCATAATGGAAAATGTTGGATGATGGTGACCATCATGAATCACACTGAAACCATCACAAACCATCAAAATGTTTTGATGGGACCATCAAGAATTTTGACTTGGGTTAATTTTTCACGGATGATTTTCCACGGAGCCGTAATATAGAAAATAGAGTTCAAGTAATTTAGTCTGAAAAGCGAGAGGAAGTTAGGGCCTATAATTGTTACTTTCAATTTTTGAGTATTTTGCCATAGTTCTTGAACTATTCACGAGAATTTAAAACTTTCTGAACACAACTGCAAAACTCGTTTATCCAAATATAATTCAATGTAAGAATTTTTTTTAAACTTTCATTTACTACTATTTTATTTAATAATGTTCCGACATTTTTTTTGAATGGGATGCCTGCAAGTGACGAAGTGTGGTTATCTCGATCCTGATTGGTTGTCGAAAGGTGGCATTCTGTTCTTGCAACTATTCTTTCCATTCTATTTCGAGTAAGCCAAGCCCGTCAAGTATCAACTCTCTTAAGTGACGCATTCTAAATTCCTTCACAAAGATTCTTTCTCAAAGATTTTAATTCATTCATAAAATATTTATACAGAGACTTAACACGAAGCCACGTGGAACATAAAACAAATTAATTATGTACTCTAAACAAAAATATATCACGGTTACAATAATTTGACTTTAATACGCCATTTTGATGATAAAGATTAGCTGACGTCATAGGTCACATGTGTGGGTATGGAAGGTCTTCTTCTTCTTAAAGTGCAATTGTCAAATTACATACTGTTTGAGAGTGTAATTTTAATCGGCAAAATATGAACAGAATAGTTTGATAGTAAAAACGATTTTTTTTTAATATTTTATTGCTCGGGAACTATTTGGATTCATTTTTTTTTCCATCTAAAATTATTTAGCTTGAAATAAAGTAAATATTTGTATACCAAACAATAACCGTAAAAAAAAAATTATCTTATTTTTAAAAATTATTTTTTGCATAAAATTATTTTTGTATAAACAAATTTTGCCTCAACAACTCTTTTCTCTCTTTCGTGTGCCTGTTTAGGCAGAGGGGTGCGATTGTTCTTGTTTTCCAGTGGCGCCATCTATGGCCAAGAAATCGACTTCTGCCACACCCACACGTCACACCCGTTTATAGGGCGGACCCATTCATTCATCCACAGATCGTAATTTTGACCTGAATTAGAGAACGAGCAATAACTGATGATCAATAACCCTTGATTCTTTTAAATAGTGCCAGAGATAAGTCAAACTATTAAAAAAGGTGAAATTATCATTAATGGGACCCAAACTTTCGATTAGACCTATTACAACCGAATTTTTCAGATTGGGGCTGTTCTCCCCTCCCCCTATATATTGAGGACCCATAGAATAGAAGAATAGATTATTTATGAGTATTAATTTATAAATAACTAATAGTTGAACCATATTCCAAAAAAGCTGTTTCTAAGCTATATTTAACATTTTATAAATGAAATAGATTTTGAATTTTATTTTATAAAATAGCATGAAAAATAAATTTTTAAATGTCAGAGATATTTTTAGAATTGTGAACATTTTTACAATTGCTATCAAAATAACAATAGACTCGCAATTTTTTGTGAAAAAAAACTGAAGTTGCATTTGTGCATTTTTTTTTCAGTGTACACCAATAAATCTATTTTGGTAAATAAAATCCTATATGTCGATTGTAAAAAAACTCACTACTTTTATAAAAATTAATCTAATTTACTAAATAAATACCCCCAAATATAAAGTATAGATTGGTACCACCCAAGTATGCATTAGGAATAAAAAAATTATCACAGACAGCAATGAAATGCCCATACAAGTTAATGAAAACCGAGATAAATCTAAATTTGAAAATAAAATGTATAACAGGCATAACATTTATTATTTATAAGAATGAATAAAAATGGTGTGATTAAAAAACTAATTAAGAATTTATTTAAAAACCTTGTTTCTTAATTTGCTACTTTAAACAAGCAAGTGTGTGGTCATAAGAGAACTTGCCTAAATAGTATTTGTCATTCAATAGAATGTCTAGGTCTTAAATAGGATGCCTAGACATTCTATTGAATGCCGGCATTTTATACTTTGTCGGTAACATATGCATTGGAAAGGGTGAAAAGAACTAATTATAAAAACCGGAAGTTCGGAATGCGCGTAAGTCAGATAACACATTCTTGTTGCGAGGAATTAAAATGACCTCCAACTAATATAAGCAGACATTTCCAAAAATATATTTCGAGTGTTTAATTCTTAGTTGTAAACTGTGAGGTAAGAAATAAATAAATAAATGAAATCTTAACATATGTATACAGTCCCTGGCAAAATTATAAGATTCTGCGTTAAATCTTAATTAACAGGTGATTAAATTAAAAGAATTTGTATGGGATCTTATAGTGCACCTAATCATTTGGCAAGGGACTATAT